TGCTTCCCCAGCACTCATCCACTGGTAAGCTACTGTGTCTAGGCCTCTGTCTTCCAGCCAGGCCTTTCACCAAAGACAGAGTTCCTCTCCCTGCCTCAGGTACCAAATAACCCTAAATAACAGCTTCAACCTTTCCCAGTTTCAGCTGACTTGAGCCCCCTCAGCTTATCTGCCCTTGGCCTTCACTTTGTCCCCTCAGAACTCTATCCTTCGAGCTCAGGACAAGCTAGCCAACTGGTCACAGATTCTGCTTGGGGTAAACTCATTCCAGAAAGGGTTTCCACAGAGCATGTCCCTATCTTAGTCCCCAATTTGAGTTTAGAAGCACTCCTACTAAGCCTTCTCCCCTTGAGAAAGCTCTAGGAAGTTTACCCACTCCTTTCCGCTCAAATTCCCTGACTAAAGATCTTTTCCTGCTCTGGGCATCTTTCTACTCCAAGGTGTTACTGGATCAAGTATGTATCCCACACGCTGGACACCAGTTTATATTGCGAGCACGCTGAAGCCTCTATTATCTCAAGCCTTCATGAGGTGCTCACTCTTTTTCTTTAGTTGCTGCCACCAATACCAATTCAGTAGCAATTATTTACTGAGACATGTGTTACTTTGAAACTTAAATTTGTTTATTTGATCAGTAATATATAATAGGTAAATCACAAGTTGCTAATCAATTTATCTCACTCACTGAACTCACTGACACACAGAACCCTACTCTCACTGACTTTCTTGCTCACTCTCTCACAGACTCACCCATCTCCCAAAAACCTTTCTCACAATACACTCCCCTTTATATCCCAGCACCTCCCCCTTTAGCACCACCTTCCGTTCACTCATTGGCTCCTTTTCCACTGCTCAGCTGTGACGGACAGGTGAGGGCAGGGCTGAACGCTACACTCCCTTCCCTGCTTCTTCCCACAGCCATTATTTAGCAGATTGTGGCAATTTTTCTTTTCTTTTCTTTGTTAAAACATCATGCTAGATCTCATTTACCATTCTTCTTTTAAAGAAAAGAAGTGGGTTTTTTAAATTTTTAATGAGGGGCAAGATACAGTCTGAGGTCAGGAGAAGAAAGGCAGTCAAAATCCAATCTTCTCTGGCAGGTGACAACAAGACTAGCAATGGCAAGCTATGCCAGAAGAAATGCAAAACACATTGGAAAATCATCCATTGAGATAGATAGGTCTAAAATGCCCATCAATTATTATCTGCAACCATGGTGCAAAATCAAGGCATTGTGATTTCAATGTGGGCAATCACGTCTTGGTCCTCAGTCTGGTGAAAGAATAGTAAGCTCCAGATCTGGAACTAGACTTAAGCCAAAAGTTTAGCATGCCCATACTTTAAATCCATATGTGACCAGAGATGAAGTGATGCCTACATGAGTTACTTGAGGTGGAATGTGGTGATACTGTTATGAAATCATTCTGACATGTGAATTATGATGTATTTTGCAATATTATTGTTCAATACTCTTA